TCATCGATTTGGAATTATATGGATTAAAGAATGATTTCATGATATTATTCAGCATATAAAAATAATAGCGTTAATCACAAGTGATAAAGCACTGTGCAGTTCCGACGGATTGGACGGATTGGACCATCAGATCTATCAGCGCCAGAAGTGAGTAAGGGCAAAGTAGAACTCAACGAAATTAATTAGAATGACGCAAGCTCGCTGAACTTACCAATTCGAGGAATAAGTAGGGAACAAACAAGTGTAGGAAATATGCCGAAGAAAATCTGGCATGCGAGGTTTCAAAATGAAACGTCCAACGAGAGATATCAAAATGAAACGTCCAACATCCAAACAATCGAAAGGAAACAGTCCAAAGGAAACAAAGGTAACATCAAAAGGAAACATCCAGAGCGTTCGACTCACATAGGTAAGAAGCGGTTCAAATGCGAAACATGTCTGATGGGCTTCGTTTATCCATCGCAATTGGTTAAACATATGACGGTTCATACCGGTGAGAAGCCGTTTTCTTGTCCGGAATGCACGAAGAATTTCACCGAGAAAGGGAGTTTGCATAGACATATGAGGATTCATACCGATGAGAAGCCATTTTCTTGTCCGGAATGCACGAGGAATTTCACCGAGAAGGGGAATTTGCTTAAACATATGAGCATTCATGCCGATGAGAAACCGCACAGTTGTTCGAAATGTGGGATGTATTTCACCATTTTATCGAATCGGCTTGAGCATTGGAGTATTCACATTAATGAAGAACCGCACGCTTGTTCTGTGTGCAATAAAACATTCTCGCAAAAAAGTAATATGAAACGTCACATGAAGATTCATAACAATGAGAGGCGCTGATTCAACTGCCCCGTATGCAGCAAGGCTTTTCTGACGGAATCTAATTGGGAAAAACGCATGATGAATTGCGTCTTGAATGAACTGATAGACGCATTTTAAGCCGGAATTACTCATTGCTATTTTGTTGTATTTTGCTATTTTGTTGTATTTTTTGTCGTATTTGTTGTATTTACCTATCCATTTCGTTTGTCAATTTACATGCAACGTTCCGTTGAAAACAATAGGCATATTGGTCATGCCATCTTCAAGTAACATTTCATATAGTTGATAATCCATCCCAATTACTGTTTCACACCAGTGAGTTATCGAATAGTTGATTCGAATTCAATTACTAGAGATTATTCACTTAATTACTAGAAATCATTCACTTTTCTTGATGTATTAAAAGCAGAAAGTTAGGATTTAATTGTTGTGAAAGTTTGAATTGTCTGAGTTGAATAGTTTCAGCAGCGATATATTTGATATTTATTTGTGTAGGAGAGTAACCAAAGAACTTCTTTATTGACAGGATAATATGCAAATCTCTTTAAACAATAATATCGACCAAGCCAATAGACTTTAAATTTGGTAAATAATGGACAGTTGGAATAAGAGAAGAGATGCCAGGAATATTTCGTGTAATAACGTTGATGTAGCGTCCAATCCAAAAAAGGAGATCCTTCTTTC